GGAATTAAACAAGCGTATTTTGGTCTTTAGAGTGATGTTTCTTGCTTTCCAAAAACTTCCACATGTAGGTTTAAGGTAGACTGAGTATTCCGAAAAAGTTAAAAAATGTGGCAATAATGGCCTGTGATTGGTTGACATATTTTTACCGAACGCTTTTCGGCCAAATCAAACAAAACTTGATAACACAGGTAGCCATTTTCCAAAGCTATGTCCGATAACCCATGAAGGTTGTCAGAATGGAAGTCCCAGCCCTTAATATGTCTTGCTTCACCCGATTCTCCTGTCAAAGTCGGTGTCAACCGTCGGTATCGTGACTTCCCGTACGTAATATACTTAATAGTAAAACCAACAATTGATTTATTCAGAAATCGATTTTCATACCAGTCAAATTTGCTGCATGCCTAATTATATTAAACATGCAATCTTCATTAGAGTTTAAAACTTTTTTCCATAACATTGGTCGTTTAAGAAACTTTCAAAATGATGAACAGCAATTTGCATGATACAGAGAGAAAATTAATCCGAAAACTTTTGTATACAAGTTATGACATCGAGACGATAAAAGATTGAAGATAAAGGAACTAGAATATCTTTGTTTGTTAACGAAGTTAACTAAGGTTAAAACTCCCTCATGCAAAGTTGACCTTAGATTGATTTGACTATTGTTAAGGCCCTTCCGGTCATTTAGCTCTTCAACTGTTTCTGTTCTTATAATCCTTTGCTATAGCCTTCCTGATGAAGGTAAAACCAGAAATCGCTTTGGACACATGACTTTTATTACGTGCCAATTTATGTGTAAGCATCAAAGAACCAAACAAATCTGACTTCCGTAACTGTTAATACCATACATTTACTATCCGGTTGTAGTTTGAAATCTCCAATGTAGTTCTTTATCAACAAAATGTTTTCGGTATTGAATTATCTCTATTGCCCTCGGAAAAGGCCTGAACCAAGTCTGAATAGGACAGTTGTTTTCCATCGGTTGATATAGTATAACGTTATTTTTGTCAGTTTTAATGGACTTAAACCTCTTTGAATTTACTTTGGTGTTCAGTATTTCTGCTTATACTATTGTGGTTAATATGGGCAATACTCAAATATTCTATATTTTTCAATACGTTATATACTCATTTTACTCGTATAGATCTTTTTATCTGTATCGTCATATACGTCTTTAAAATTTTCGATTCAACAAATTGGCATCATCAGTATCATATTTTTGTCGAAAAATAATAATATACAATTAAAAACATCGGCACTTATTAAATTTGTTAGCTGGTAGTTTGTTTTCCTTAAGACTAGCTAGTCTGTTTAGGTTCATTTAAGTCATATACTCAATAACATTTAAACGTATTTATACATTCTTGGCTCTTGAATGTAAGGCTTAACTTGACGCCTTCCTTGTGAACGCAAATCCAGAAAGCCGCATTGTGCGCACGACATTTTTAAACTTCTTATATCATTAACTAGATTTGGTCAATACCACTGCGGATGGACTGTTTATCCCCGAGAGTATCAACAGCTCAGTAGTCAGTGCTTCTGTACTGACATGATTTGTTACATATTTTTGCTAAAATTCACCTTTGATGAATTAAAAAATTTCCTCATGCAAAGGTGACCTTATAGATGAATTTGTTCATTTTGCGTTGATACCTTTTGTTCATATAGCTCATTAAGTAGTTATACAATAAAAAATAGATGTGCTAAGATTGCAAATGAGACAACTCTACCCACCAGAGATCAAATGACATAGAAGTTAACAACTACAAGTCACCTTCCGGCCTTCAACAATGAGCAAATCTCATACCACATTGACAGCTAAAAAGGGCCCCGAAATGATAAATGTAAGACAATTCAAACGACAATACTTACAGCCTGAGTTATGTACAAAACAATGATGAAACCTTGGATTTCAAATCTTTGCGTTTGAGCGTTTTTTATGAAGATGAGTGTAGAAAAGCGCTTTGAACGAACGAAATTATTTTTTTTATTATTTTCCTTAGATAATATTATTTATTTAAACTTGTAAAATGTCGTGATGAAATGATTTTTCTAACAGTCGACATCTTCAAACATGAAAATAGTGTAATTTTATCAAAATGAAACATATAATGTACAAGACATTATTAATTATGTCTGCAGTTCATTAACATGATTAAGCGATATTCGTTGAAAAAGTAAACATTATGTCTGCGTCTAAATCTAATTCTAAAATACATATATATGATTAAAATGAATTAAAGTCAAAAGAGCTTAAACGTTTGTGTTAATTGCACGTTTAAAAATTCTCAGACACGATTTAATGTTATCAACATTGATAAATATTGCACACTTAGATAATCTTTAATGTACAGAATCCAGTTAGAAGTTAGAAATTACTTCTCAGTGAAAGATACACAAATAATACTTGTAGCCAACCAATGTAATTCAATGACAAGTTACGAATACTGAAAAAGCGTCATGCATATAACATATGTTACTTAGTATTACAATGGGCTAAAAAAACGTATGATCTATTTTTTTTAAATACATCATGTTATGATACCACAAATGTTCTGAATATATAACGAATTAAAGACTCCACGAACAAGCTTGCAAGTATACTACTGGACAATGCTTGGTAGTATTTCGTTCATATTATGCACAGAAATTATCTAATCATGCATACATTACAGGTACAAAATTTAACCCACTATTAATATTGATTCTGGAAAACCTTTCTGTAAACTATCTGAAAAAAATGTTTATATACCTGCATTTTGTAAAATTAATTAATCATCATTAAGTATTTAATCATTCATAGGCTAAATTAATCAACTTAAGTTTAAAAATTTGCTATTGTATGTTTTCTTGTTGGCCTTTATGGATGTACATTTTTAAATGCACATAAGTTTAACTATATATCAAAATGCTAAATATTCTCAGGTTTTGTAATTAGCATTTATGAGATTAAGTATAGAATACACAAATATCCATGCATTGTAATCAAGTAATTGTAAAGTGATGAAGTGATGAGATGATAAGAGTAGCAATAACATATCTTTTGAGCTAATTGCTAACCAATCGAAAAGAAAAGATATGATGTATCCATTCATGATTAGCTAGATGTCGATGACGCTTCGTCAGTACATTAAAGAACAAAGATGAAGGGCAACATCAACATAATATAAACTGTTTACCAACGAATTCAACAAATAATTTCATAAATGAGCAGAAAATCTCTCACTTATTTACTAACCTAGAATGTGAAATTCATAAAAGTCTTTACCAATAATGCAAATATGCAAATATTATTTTCATTGAAGTTTTGCGATTGATGGTCTTAAGAACAACACATATGTATATAAACCTTTAAAGAACAATGACATTGTTTTATGTAAAGAGCTGATACGATAAATTGCTTATATGGAATGAGTTGAAACCTTTGTTAAATTAAGACCATTTGTATGAAGTTTTCTGGATTTATCCTCATTTAGAATGCTCAAAGCAAAATATTTGAAAGCCGATGATGTATGAGAATTAAAACAGTTGAAGAGCTATATAACCAAAAAGTACCTGAAACATAGCCACATACATATAAGGTCAACTTTACTTAAAGATTATATTATAAAGATAATCAACAAATCTTATATATTTAATAGAAGTATGAAGAAAATATCCAAAAACAAATTCTTTTTATAACATTTATCTCTTCTGCAGCAAGATCTGTAACATAAGACATGTAAGAAGCAGGGAAGTTGCCGGTTACATTACATTTTTTCCGGTTAATTTCAAAAGGTAAGTGGATGGTCCATTCGTATAACCGTGTCTTTCTGTACTGTTTATGCCGTTGACGTGTGTTATAATGCAGACCAACAACATATAGTACAATGCTTCTTCATTGGTTGACTTATATCTATCTTAATGATTTTGCTATTTAAATAATTTGGCAGATATAAGACTGTTTGTTCCATTTATTCACAACTTGTATAAACTATTTAGTTTATTATCGACTGTCTGCCTATTGTTAAAGACTGTGTGTTGTCATGAAGATGTCTTTTTGTTGTATTGCTGTTGATTGGCTGTCGCAATAACGTATACATATACAAAAAAGTGAACAACATTGCCTCTTTTCCTTACAATTTGAACAAACTTATTATTAAAGTCCTTTCGCTTTGTGTGCCACAACATTGCTTGCAGAAAGACAACATTAAAACATCAAATCGCTAGCAACATGCTTTGGCAGATCTTTAGATACCAGATAATCGTCTTATCAATATTTTCATCAATTGTGTCATATTCCCGATTGTTACATTTTGACTTAGTGTGGATTCAAATCGATGGCGATGAAGGCATAGAAGGAGACGTATAGCATGTCGATGCACTTCTGTCTCGGATATTCTGCCCCACAAAATGCAGGAAATAATTGGGTGCAAATTGATAATAAATTTTGTTGCGCGTTGATTAATTTGAAAGGCTTAAGAATATGAGAAACAGAATATTCCGTTTGTAATACATCATCTTCCTAACTCAAAAAGTCAAATGATTATCCCAAAAGGACAAACTCTATACAAAATGTACATTGTAACATTTTGAAAATCCATATGAAACAAACGACAACCAAGAAAGTGTTCCGAAGTCTGAAACTGACGCATTATTGACAAAATTTTTGACTACAATTGTATAATATACATAACCGGAGATGTATACCATGTATACGCATATATATATATAAAGAAGAGACCACTTAAGTCATTGATAATGCTCATTTGTGTCACATGATCCTAAACACTTCTAAAGAAAATGTATATATATTGATGAATGAATAATTTGTCAGCTGACTTCCTTAAAGTAGTGATATAATCATTTATTTGTTGTAGTTATCTACCTTCCGAATTAAGTTATGTAACATATGATATTCAAATCTAGATTTTGGGAAAATCAATTTTAAAATTTCTATTTTTACTTTCAATTTCGATTTGGTCAAAGTCCCATAAATGACTTGCGCAATAATAATTTAGGAAACTATCAACGGACTTGCGCAATGACGGCTTAGACATTTTTTCATAAACTAGGACTAAATCTAAACTCTTTCGAAAGTAAGGATTTTTACTAATATTTTAACTGTATTCTTTGTGATATTCCACCGAAATAATTATAAAAAGACATTCTATAAGTCTTGATATAAGATATGTAGAACACTTTATCGGAAAGAGAAGTAACAAACGTTTAACACCATACGTCATGGAAACCATAACCACCTCGAAAGAAGAAACAATTACAAATCAACCATTATGAATATACAAAACGTCTTGTTTAAATATTATAATTTATTTATGGTGATAAAACGTAGATATACAAGCTTGACAATATCTAAACGACACATTTTGTAAAATAACTAACTGTATTGATATTCAACCTGTCCCGCCCATAAATGGTGATAAATTTTGAATGAATGCAATGACATAAACTTCTATCCCCTATCATAACTTCTAATTTGTTGACTTGTCACAATTTTGGCTTGTATATTTTCAATGAATTTTTTTTATACCTAATTGAACACTATATTTCTACGTGTTATGAACTGTACCTCGGTGAAAAATAAAACGCGGAAGATCAATGGTCCGCCATCTTTTAAAACAAATGAAAGGAAAAGATCAAGAATATAGTTTGTTGATAATCTTTGAACCATTGATAGCTCTCTTACTTTAATAACAAAAAATCCCGAATTACACTGGAAATTTTTGAAATTCGGAATTTTCTTTGATATAAAAATTCCCACCAATTGACATTGACAATGACAATATACATGCTACAACATGTTTAAGTTCGTGTTATATCATTATAGTTTGATGCTCCTATCTGATATTAAGGCTATGCGAAATATATATAAGGGGCAAATATACACTTGGAACATGTTCGTTCGGATTGATTAATGCGAAACTACCTTGACGATGTATAAATCAATTAGATTTGTACATATATTGTGCTGTTCTACTACTGTCCAGGCTAGGAGAGATTGAGCACTCTTAAACATGTGAATCCCCGCCACATTCTTTAAGTGCCTGTCCCATGTGAGGAACCTGTAGTTCAGTTTTGTCTTTCTTTCATGTCTATCACATTTGTCTTTCGTACATTGTTTTGTTATAAGGAAGGCTGTTAGCTTTCTTGTTTGAATTGTTTCACATTTTGTCATGCTGGAGCTTTATTAAAGTCAACTGTCCGGTATGAGTTTTCTCATTGTTAAAGGCCGTACGATTGCCTTTAATTAATTACATCCACTTTATTTGTACTTTGGTGGATAGTTGTCTCATTGGCAATAATACCAAAATCCTTATTGTTAACATGTAAAAGTATTCATCTCATACGACTATATCAAATGTACCACCAAATAACATTCTGTGATAACAAAAATTCATAAGGGTTCCGCGGAACCCAGTGTCTCGCCTACTTTTGCTGTTAGTCGCAGGCTCAGCAATAAACTGTGAACACAGAGATATGTCTCGCCTTTTTGTTATTTCGATAATGCAAATGTTGAAATTAAAATAGCAACTCTTTAACATGTAAGTTTTGTAAATATTCAAAGTCAATGAACCATGACTGAGGGTACATGGCTAAACAATCTCCATGGAAATGAGATGTGCCAATGCTAATACAACTGCACACCAAAATATCATTGACTTATTATAAGTAGTTCTCTTTAAACAAACCTAAACACAAACTTATACATGTTAACTAAACAAAATTTCAAAGTCAACGGACCATAACTGAGGGGAAGGGGCCAAATAATCTCCATGGTAACGAGATGTGCCAATGCTAAAACAACTGCATACCAAATATAAATGACCTACCACTAGTGGTTCACCATAAACTGACCTAATCACAAACTAATACGTGAAAATTAAGAAAAAGTTTCAAAGTCAATAGACCATAACTGAGGAGCGGGGCCAAATAATCTCCATGGTAATGAATTGTGCCAATGCTAATACAACTGCATACCAAATATCATTGACATACCACTAGTGGTTCACTATAAACTAAACCTAATCACAAACTAATACATTGTTGACGCCGCCGCCGCCGCCGCCGGAAACAGCATACCTATGTCTCGCTTTTTGACTCCGTCAAGGCAAGACAAAAATGGGGGGAAAATATTAAAAATTTTCCTCTAGATACTATCTTTTAATTGTAAGAAGCTTCTGTCCAAGTTTGATAAAAATCAAGAATGGTTTATGAATCTATCAAATGTTTTAAAAATTTAGCTGCAGACTGTATGTAATATTAATTGGAAGAAAAACTAAGCCCATTTATAAGTAATATACGAAAAATAAAACAGGAAATAAATGTTTACAAAATTTCCTTCTAGATACTAGCTTTTGATCATAAACAAGCTTCTGTCCAAGTTTGATAGAAATCCAGGAAATTTCAAAAACTTTAACCACAGAGTGAAAATTTTAGAAGCCGCCGCGACGACGACGACGACGGAATGTAGGATTGCTATGTCTCGCTTTTGCGACAAAAGTCACAGACTCGACAAAAACCATAAAACTCTTATTTTGTGGATCAGTCAGGACAAATAGAAAAAATAAATAAATTAAAAACTTTGACAACACCGTTGTATTGATTAATTTCCTCTGTAATTGTGAACATTCAGATCATATTTCGTCGCATTTTTGTTGTATTAGAAGGAAGCGTTAAAAGATCAAGAAAATCATTTAAAATCTACATTCACATATGGTTAACCTAATGCATTAGTACAAACGATGGCTTGGCATTGGCAATATAATGGAATTTTTTGCGACTGTCAGGCAAGTGAGAGGTTTAGCTAGCTATAAAACCACCTTTAATCCACCATTTTTTACATAAGAAAATACCTGTACCAGGTCAGGAATATGACAGTTGTTATCCATTCATTTGATGAGTTTGAGCTTTTGATTTTGCCATTAAGAAAGGACTTTCCGTTTTGAATTTTCCTCAGAGTTCGTTTTTTTGTGATTTACCTTTCTTTTGGCATACGATTATTCTAGATATAGACTGAATATTTGAACAACAAATGTATATTTTTATAAAGACATCGTATTCATTTGAAACGTTCAAAATGAAATTATCAAGGAAATAAACTCATAAAAATTAGTGTATATATTTTTTTTAAATTACGACTTTCTAACGCAGGAAATACAATATAAGTAGTATTTGAATGCGTTTTAACATAAGTATATTCTAGCACAATTCAAAGTGTAAAATAATCTGAACTTATATATGGCTTATAACCTATACCAGCCTTGGGCTGTTGTTTTTGCTCTTTGCCCGGGTTGTCGTCTCTTTGGCAAATTCCATGTTCCATTCTCAATTTTATTTGAATACCTCGTAATGTGAAAATCTTTCAAATCAGTACGAGGTAATGTTAAATTTTTAGAAATTGCCCGTTATCACATCATGTCGTTAAACGCTCATATTTTAAAATACCTGAAAAATAAGGATTATCTTATAAATGTATGAATAAAATAGCACTATCCATCCTAGATAAATTGACAAATTATGAAAAAAATCAAGGTTTCATCTTCGTCAGGTAATGGTTACCTGAGATAGATTTAATCATTATGTCTTTTTGATTATACATCTCCAATGATTAATAGCCCGTTTTTATCGATCCCTGGCTTTCAAATGATTAAGTTTTAGCGTTCCTAATAAAGCCAAACCAAGAAATTCGCATCGGACACAAGAATTGTAAAGTTTCACTTTCATGTCAAATGTTCATTACTTATTATTTATACAACTATTTGTTATGAATCTTCTTTCCTGTGGCAAAACAATTGAACAAAAAACACATCTGTGGCATGTTGATATTCTAAAAAAAGTATTTATAAAAATTATACATTTTGGTACAAGGCTTACATTTAAAAAAATGATTACAAATAGCTTTAATTTGAAAGCATTTGTTAAACAGTATTAACCTCTGCTAAAGATAAATCAAATTGACCAGCCACGCTCTATACAATGCGACTTTACTGTTTAAGCTGGGAATTATTTAAACAGAACTTGAGTGTATCATTATTCACGACAACAATTTAGTTTAAAACAAACATCGTCTGTTGTGGAAAAAAAAATCAAGAATCTAGTTTATCTTTTTTTTTGGTTATAATATTAATGTGTTATTATCTTAAATGTGTTTCTAGAAATTAATATTTATTCTGAATATGTTTTTCTTTGTCATTCAATTTTCGAGATTTTTATATCAATTTTCTGCATTACAGTGTCACAGGAGGAAGCCAACTCCTTCAGGAATGATGAATTTCACATACCAACCATACCTAGTGAAGACTGGGAGATGAATGTATTCCTGAATGAGTTGGCTGACGATCTGACTAAGGAAGATCTAAAAAAGATGAAATACTTACTTACAGGTGGGTCAGAACATCAAACTATACGATTTTTGGAATTTTTAATGATTGGAATGGATTTGAAAAGATTCCATTCCTCTAAAGTATTTGATTTAATATAACAACTTTATTTCAAATGTCAGTCATTGAAAAGAATCAATTTCATCTAAATAATAAAGATTAAAATGGCTGCGTTTTTTATTTGTGAGTCAACGTCTAAAAAGTTGCAAATTATAAAAAAAACAGCCATGATTTATGTTGCAAACTTTTTCTACATAAGGAAATGCCTGTACCACGTTAGAAACATGACAGTTTTCCATTTGTTTAATGTGTTTGAGCTTTTGGTTTTGTCATATGATAAAGGACTTTCCGTTTTAAATTAACCTTGGAGTTCGGTATTTTCGTAATTTTACTCTTTTTTATAGGATTAAACGGAACTGGAAAAAGAGTACTTGAAGTAATAAACGATGGTCTTGATCTTTTTGAACATCTGAAGCAAAAACAAATTCTTACCAGAGACAATGTTGTCTGTCTGCAGGCAATGTTGTGGCACACCAAGCGAAAGGACTTACACAATAAGTTTGTTCAATTTGCAAGGAAAAGAGGCAACGTTGTTCACTTTTATGCCCCGAATGACAAGCCAGGTAATACTAATAATTGCGTCCGATATTTGAATATCATAAAATTATTAGAAAATGAAAATATATGAACGAAGAGACATCTAGAGGTCAACATACAGTCTTCGACAATATACAGGGAGTCTATACAATACTGTATCGAACCGTTCTAAGTATATACAAGTTGTGAATAAATGAAACAAACAGTCGTAGATATGCAAATAGATATGATATAGGACAACGGATATAAGACAACGGATATAAGACAACCAATAATGAAGCATTGTTTTATCTGTTGTTGATCTGCATAATGACATACAGCAACGTCATAAACAGTACATAAAGACACTGTAATGCGCAATGCACAGTCAACACTTTATAAAAATGTTAAAGTAGTGATTCAAACTGTCAATTAAACTCCCCCTCAACAAAAAAGAATCAGTCCAATAAATTATCATTACTAGACAAAAGACAGGCACCGCTATGGTCAATAAAGAAAAAAACAAACACTTAACATTTTACAAAAAAGAAAACAAAAAATTGAACTACACAAGCGCCACTAAAAGCATACAAGTTTATCTGTTTCACAATTGGACCTTGATATTGTTCATGGCAAAACAATTTCAAAGATGATTTGTATTCGACAAAGAGGAAAGTAGAAATAGACCATCAAGATTTAAAGTTGGATGTTGAAACAATCAAGTGGGTTAATGTTAAAAAACAAATTATATTAATTTTAATCTAATTTAATTATAATAAAAGATCCCCATCAGATAGTCAAAAACAAGCAAATTATTTATGATAATAGGAATTGTATCTTTTACTGTTTATGGTAACCAATTGTAGGTAAAACGGATGCTTTCAAAATAGAACTCTTATCATTTTGTAAAGATTGTCAATTTACAAAAGGTCAAATTCGAAATAATTTTTGTCATAAATACAGTATCGTAAAATGAGAGACAAAACAATGTCAGTGTTGTTGAATTCTATATTTCATTTTCGAACAAGAGATCGATTAAAACGGCTACAAATGATGCAAAATGTATTCTTGTTAAATAGTTTCTGTTTTTCTTCTTAATTGGTGATAAGGTATAGCATATACGTTTTACAAAGAAAACCATTTATCAGACAGATATCCAATTTGACACCTAACTGTACATCAAAACCCTGTGATGATAGATCTTTGATCCTAAACTACATGTTTTTAATTTTGTATTTTTCCCATCTCTGAGGTTATATCATATATGATTTGTTAGATTAAACCGTTACATCACAGTAATACATTAAGCATAATGGATCCATATCGCACATGTCCGTTTGTTCAATATCGGTCAACAGTTTCAGATATAGAGTTGATAACTAGAAATATCGATAAACAAAAAGAGATGATAAAAGGCCACATCACTTTGAATAAAAATTGACTTAAAAAGTTTCAATTATGCAGTGTATCAGTATCATACATTGTACTTACAATTAGTTTATGTTTTGTAGTTGACCAAATGTAATTAAAATTTTGCAGAGAATGGTTATGAGTATGTGAAATTTCATATAGGTGGCAAAGAAAAATTAGACCGAAACAAACTCGAGGAACTTCGAATGCTTGTTAGTCGTGTTATTTGTGTGCCACTAGATTTTATCATTGTCAGTGGAATAGAAGCAACAAACAGCATTCTAATTACGTTCATGGTTCCAGAGGGATACGCAACTATTCTGGCTGATCTAACGGATAAAGAAAAAGAATATTTAGGTTGTAAAGGGGTTGATGCAATATGGTACGATGGATGTCTAATTAATTGCATAGGTACGATTCTGTCGGTATTATTGAGTTGGCATGAAATATCATTAATATATAGATATAAGATGTGGTATGAGTGCCAATGAGACAACTCTCCATCCAAGTCACAATTTTAATCAAAGTCACAATTTATTAGAGTAAACCATTATAGGTTAAAGTACGGTCTTCAACACGGTGCCTTGTATGATTATAAAATGTTGAATTAGTCCAAACATCTAGGTTTGTCTACTCGTAGACATAGATCGCTTTAGTCCTATTTGGCATGCATTTTCAGATTTTATAATGCTCTTCCGCAACGTATTTGATTTCTTATTCCGTAAAGGGCGTATTATTTTTATATAACTTAATCGCTTTTGTTGTCATTTTTATGTCTCTGTTGATAAAACCTATCTAGTATATATTCAACCCTGGCTTTCAACTTTTGGGTAAGTGAACATTCTTGATGAATGGCAAATTCGAGACAGCGCATCAGACGATCAGAATTTATTGAGTGTTATTTTCATTAATAATTGAAATACCGACATACTCGTGTTTGTTGTTGACCCTTATTTTAATAACTTACAACTGTCAAATGAAATAAAATGAAAGCTGACCTTATTTTCTCTATTATTTTCCTACTTTGTGTTGTGTTTTGTGTACTGTTGTTAGTCCTTTCGTCGTTTTTCGTTTTATGCTATGGCCTTGTCAGTTTGTTTTTTACTTGTGAGTTTAAACATACACTTGGTTTCTTTCGTCGCTTTTTTTTAAAGGGAATGTGATTCAAGTCCTTTTACAAAACAATATGTTTAGAATTCTCGTTCATTTAGAGAATTTGAAAGATCTTTCAAATACGAATTCAGAAAAAGCGGTTGAAAGAAAACAGCAGATGTGCAAAACAGGTTGTATAATGTTAAAGAATAAAAGTATTGCATGTTTTCGTTATCTAAGTGCACAGACAGACAAAAAAAGGATATGTGGTTACTAGTGAAGAAGGGTCAAAGGTTTAGACACTGTATCAAATCTCAAGTGAAGATTAAAAAATGAGACGTCAAGCACTTTGTGTTATTGACATGGAAATTCGTCTTTATAACAAAAGCGTGAGGAATAAATTGAATATTGTTAAACAAGTTTTTCTTGAAATGAAATGAAGTATACCGCACATTGACTTCAGATTAGTAAATGAAATTTATATTTTTTACAGACGTTAAGTGTCCCGATGAGAATGAGGAAATTGACAAAGACGCAGAGGTAAAAATTCTTCTGGACCAGAAATCCAAACTCGATAAAAATGTTGAAGACCTGCAAATTGAGGTATTAAAACTTCAACAAAAGCTAAGAGGGAGTCAGAAAAGGGAAGACGACATGCAGAAAAATGCTCAGAACAGAATAGCAACCATTGCCGGTGTTCTTGTCCAACAATTCGTTGGTGCCATGCATACTCCGGAGAAGATGTCGCTCGAAAGTATCGCTTTGAAGAATGCAGTTAAACAAATGAGACATACCCTGAAAAAAATGGAAGGTTTAGGATATGACACAGAATTAATTCAATACTTGCTTGATGCCAATACAATAGTTACGAGAACAAAGATTGGATCTGATGATGCATTAGTTTCAACAATTCAACAACATGAAATCACAAGACTCCAACACGATTTGTGTGTTCTACAGTACGAACGCGATAAACTTGCATATCTATTAGAAGTTGGAATTTCCGAACCCGTACTGACAAGAAATGAGAGATACCTTCTACATTTCCTTACTTCGTTATTCCCAATGCAGGTTACGGAAACAGTGAAAGTTTCTGTCTGTATGTATATTTTTGTGTACATACTTACATTTTTATAAAATGCCTCAATTAAGATAACAACGTCTGACTTTGTTAAAATAAATGCATAAACGCTAAGAGAACATAAAATTTTACCGTATAGATAAGTTAACTTAAACGGTTTTTGTTCCAAATATGAAAATAAGATCATATCAAGTTTATACGGCGATCCACATTGTCTAGGATATTTCTTCTTTTTAAGTAAAAAAAATATGTGACAGATTTCGTATGACGTCTCTTGCAATCATATATCAGTGAATTGTGCATGTATATCAAATTTAAGGTCATATGAAACTTCAAATTAAAATGATGCATATATTTTGTATAACGAAATGGCTAGTTTGTATTATAAAACTTGTGTACATATACTTTTTCCTGAAGAAAATACTTCAATTTATCCAAATTTAAAAGAAATTTACTTTTTTTGAATTGTTGGTTTCCCAGACAACAATTCGCCGGCATATGCAGTTACCGCAGCGTGAACTTTCTCGTAAAATTCCGGTGATCGCAATACGCAAGTGCGAAGCGGGAAAATCAAAAATCAAATTGGCACAGAAACTTATCAAACGTTAACATCGCACCATCATCGAAATAATCTATATGTCATTGTACATGTTATACACGTGCTTACCTGAATATCTATTCTTCTTTGTTGATTGTTTACAAAGGTGACAATCGGTAAACCTCGGCTTCAAAACACATTCGTATTTGTAGAAAATCTGGCACATTTAATGACGGTGTTAAATATCTGTGTATAATGAAAAAGTATAACAAATATACAGAATTCCAAGGTAAATTCAAAAAGGGAAGTACATAAAAACTGACAAAATCAAACCTTATTAACCAACGGAAAGAATGGAAATCAACTGCCATTTTTTGACTCAATACAGAAAGTTTTCGAAGAAAATGGTCGGTTAAACATCAAAATTTCTCACTAGTTACATGTCGACAATTCTGAAATAGTTCTGAACCTACTAAGCAAATACTGCTGATGACTTATCATCGGCTACGGATTACCAGTGTCTAACATGAATTACGCAAACGGGTCTATCGGAGAAGGGTTGTCTTACCCTTCTGGATTGATAAATTACATTCTCGGATGTCGGGTGTATTTAGTTCAAAGTGTTTGCGGTTTGTTCGTCTATTGTTTTCTTTTTGCCAATTGGTTTTCTTCTTCTACTTTTATATATACTATTTTCATTCCCTTTTCGTAATATGAAGCAAATTAGATGTTTGGAATATAAGTATTTTATATTGTATAAATCTATTCTTATTTTTTTCACTCACAGCACAAACTAAAGAAATGAATATTGACATCTTGCAAAATATTCTGACTGGAATTTTCAAGACATGGCAAGAAACCCTTAGCAAAGAGGAGAAACTAATCCTTTTTAACAAATTCCTTCCAACCAGTGAAAGTAGAAAGGCTTTTAAAGAATCGAAGCTTTTACTTTTAGAATACTTGTGGCTCAATTATGCAAAATCCAATGGGCTCCAGTCTGCAAACTTTCGTGAGTACAAGATCATTTAATTTATTCAGGTTTTTATTAACATCATTCCGCTCAAGTCTATCAGTAGTATCAGCTATGAAAGAGAGGAAAAAGACACCAAAAAGATGTTCAAACTTATATCTATAGCAAACTTACAACCCCATGGCCAAAATACGAGAAATCCGAAAAGACGAGAAGTCTTCGAAACACAACACAGAAAAACAAAAGACAGGGTAACCCATAAAAAACATATGGCATCCGTTGTTGTACTCAAATTTGTCGAAAATTGGGACATGTCCGTCGTAATTGGTGAACAGATATTTCATAACGGTCAACCAACTCGTGATGGCGTCCGCAAAATTACTTTATCTCCTGGAATACTTGGTGTTATCATGAGCTAAATACATTCATTATGAGCAGCAACTATTTATTATAGAGCAAGCTAAAGCACATTTTATTTTTGCAACTATAGATATTGATTTAAACTCTATGATAATGGTTTGTCAAACTGTAGGTAAATGTTACTTTTAATTATTCGCCTAATTTGTGGTTGATGGCTACGTTTACTATGAATTCAAACTCTTCACCTCTATTATCAATTTGATCAAATGCATAATTAAATAGAGAACTCCATTCTCTATTATATTAACGCTCATAGTATAAACCTGAAATTACATATTTTAAATACTTAACTGAGTTTTGGTACTTGAGATGTAGAAAACGACCGACATGGAAGATTATGTTTACGTTCTGCTTAAAAAAGGGTAGATTTTAAAATATGTAACCTGAAAAACAGGTTTAATAAAGATATTTTCAGTCGTAAAAAACTTAATTTAGATTTAAACATCACAATTGTACTATTTGGTATTTGGTGAGTCTAGTACTTCCAATAGCTTCTTGTGGTTATGTTTGAATGTAATATATTGTATAGGGTGTGTATATTATCAAATTTGATCACTAAGTCTTCTTTTTTAATTATTGGGATTTATTCCGAATAGTTCAGTACATCATAGCAATACCGACATATAAAATACATATCATTATAAAATACAGTTGGTACACTAAGCATGCTATTTTTTTTTTAGATTTGTGGATGGTAAATATACTAGCAACTATCAAAAGAATGGATCTCTGTGAAAGCTGGGCTTCAAAAGCGTCTGTTTTCATAAAGGCGTTTACAAACGGAGAAAACCAAGAGGATGATGATGTCACGTCCTTAAATTCCACATCAACAGTAGAAAAGAAGAGTTTTAAGAAGTCCCAACATTCAAGCAATGGGAAAAAGGGCAAACCAAACAAGCAATCTGCAACACTCCCCATAGAAGCACAGCCAAATCGTTCAACATTAGAAGAATTTAATGAAAGACTACAAAATATAGAAGAAATAATGGATAGGAACACTAAGATAACAGAAACCTTTGTGTTTAGTAAATGGGACAAAAATAGAAGCTTTGGGGGACATGTAGCAGACAATTCATATGATATGTCAAAGTTATTTAACAGCAAACTTTTTAACAAAATTTAACTCTGGTATATAAATATCTCTGATTTGTACCAAACGTTTGAACTATTTTTCAAATTGAAGAATCTTGATTAAATTGTTGTAAATTTAAAGATTGCATGAGATCAATATATCCTACATTTTATAGAGAATTTTGCCTTTTTCAACCTACTGCATGTATAATGGGCAGTTGATTCATGTCCACCAAGGTCCCATCATATCACATATTTAAAAATACAAATAAAACAGACTGGAATAATTACATGGTTAACTACTTCATTGTAATTTCAAACTTTATCAACAAAATGTTAGTTAAAAAAAAAACAGTAAGTTAAATCAAAATGATGGACAAGATCAAACACAAGTCTTGACTATCATATGCCAATATAGTATTATATGGGCTAGAAAGGCAAAATCAACTCAAACTGTAGTCACTATTAGCCACAATCAATTTGAAATCTTTAGAAACTCTTTTTAGTTTAAACTTACCATTTACTGTATCTGAAGATACAACATTAGAATAATACACTATATGAAAACATTTGTTTATTAGTCACAGATAAGATACAACAAAGTTTTATTCAACATAGCTTAAATAAACAACAATATGTATTGGTAAGTTTGAATTTACAGCCAGACACAGATCAAAGATCTCAAGGGTAGAATAAAAAATAGTCATACATAACTTTTCGTATAATGTATTTTTTTCATTTGAAAATTCTTTTGCTCTCGTACATGATTGAAATTCATAAGTTCTACTCATTAATTTGTTGTGTGTTCAAATACAATGTAGAAGTACAATTAAATTACTTCAATGTTTTCACAGCTATAATGTAGAAGTACATTTTAATTACTTCAATGTTTTCATAGCTACAATGTAGAAGTACATTTTAATTACTTCAATGTTTTCAATGCTACAATGTAGAAGTACATTTCAATTACTTCAATATTTTAAATGCTACAATGTAGAAGTACAATTAAATTACTTCAATATTTTCAAAGCTTTAATGTAGAAGTCTATTTCAATTACTTCAGTGTTATCATAGCTACAATGTAGAAATACATTTCACTCACTTCAATGTTTTCATAGCTACAATGTAGAAGTACATTTCAATTACTTCAATGTTTTCAATGCTACAATGTAGAAGTACAATTAAATTACTTCAATGTTTTCAATGCTACAATGTAGAAGTACAATTAAATTACTTCAATGTTTTCAATGCTACAATGTAGAAGTACAATTAAATTACTTCAATATTTTCATAGCTACAATGTAGAAATACATTTCAAATACTTCAATGTTTTCATAGCTTTAATGTAGAAGTACATTTCAATTACTTCAGTGTTATCATAGCTTTAATGTAGAAGTCTATTTCAATTACTTCATTGTTATCAAAGCTTCAATGTTTTCAATGCTACAATGTAGATGTCTATTTCAATTACTTCAATGTTTTCAATGCTACAATGTAGAAGTACATTTCAATAACTTCAATGTTTTCAATGCTACAATGTAGGAAGTCTATTTCAATTACTTCAATGTTTTCAATATTACAATGTATAAGTACATTTCAATTACTTAAATATCTTCAATACTACTTTGTCATCGGTCTACTATGGTTTAATTTTATGAATGTCAACCATTTATAACAAAACCTCGACAAAAAATGATTTATTTCATAAAAGTTTAACAATTATGAATGTATGAATTGAAATAAAAATTTACAATTAATTAAAAAGAATATCTATTTATCACAGAAAGATAATTTTTGAAACAACTGTTTGTGATAAAACAAAAAAATTTTGATAGTTTTTAAACAGTAATAATAAATCAATTTATATTATATTCAAACTGTATTTAAAATTTATAATGCATAGTCATACTTTTTTATATGATAACAGTGAAAGTCAAAATGTTTGTTTTAAAGAATAATTCTTGTAATGTTGTGTTGGAAACACGATTGATTTTTTTTTAAAAAGGTACAATGAATAATTTTGATCAGTTGTAAAACTTTTAGGAAACTAATTACATGTAAAAGACATGTTTTTGTAGATCTTTAAAGTGCAAGCTCACAAGGTATCTGTGTGTAAGAAGACATGTCGCACTACTCACGAATTAAGACAAATTATTCTGCCTCCCAGCAAAATAGTCTTTGCCCTTACTCAAATGTCAATCATTTGGTTTGATACAGAAGGAATGCAAACATTAGACCTCCCACACTACCAGGAGATTACAGAGTCACTGCATCAATTAGTTTATACCTTCAGTTTTACAACAATACAGTTTTACTATTTTTAAATGTTAAAATATTATTGATCATAAACTTCAACCAAATTAACATTCTAAATATTAACTAAGAAACTACCAGAGGTTTTATGATAGCAAGCTTGCCATTATTGTAGGGGGTCCTGGTTAAGATCCCCAGATGAGTTATAATTAAGAGTAAGAGCTAAGATTGGTCTTAATAATATAAGTTATATAGTTTGCTACTGACCCCAAAAGAATCCATAGTGTTAGTGAAATTCATAGGTCAGTGGTCTGTAGGGGGGTAGTTGCGAACCGTATAACAAATTTATTGCACACAGGACCTTTTTTGCTGCGTTTTGTAGAAAAATAAACAATGAAACACAACAACATTAATAGATGACATCATCATTAACAGGTAGACATGACGACATGAACCCCATATGAAATTTACCAAATCCCCTCGTGGATCACCAAGTGAAGGCATTAAAACCATCACAACGTCATCATTTACCCATAGTGCGATAATGCGATACTGTATGTGAGTAGGATCTGTCTTTCTGTTGACTGTTATCTAGTAAGCTAGCTTTTTCAGTTTATATTTTGTTTGTGTCGTATTAACATATCATTGTTTTAAACATGCATGTAATATTTGCCCCTGAACATTGAGTAACCATTCATCATTCAAACAAGAATTTATGAATTAAGTAAAGGAATTACTCTATCAACAAAGTGGTTAAAAATGAGGTGTAAAAACTTCATTCTATTTTATTAAGGTTAATAGGGATGCAAATGTATGATCATCTGATATATAACATTTAAGGTCAATGTTATTGAACACTCCTGAATCAATTTTGTACAACAGATGATCTTAATATCTATGTATGTCTCAGGTTGCCTAAAATGGAAATGAAAACAATGGTCAATCTAAATAAAAGTTTTTATACATCAGAAAAGTGTTTTTTATTTACACTAGTACAGCAACTTTCTTATCTGTGTCAACATCATTTTTACTAGATTATTTAATATTTATCCCAAACAGATACATTGCTATGTGACGAGTCTTTTCGCCTCAATTCTCTTTCACCCCAAATTGCTTAGTGCACACATACATAACAGTACATGCAGGATGTCTAAGTGAACACATTGTCATATGCAAGGAGAGGATGATCTTGATAACGCTAAATACATTCCAACTTGCTAACAGAAAGTCTCTTATTTGATTGAATAAATGACTGACAGTCCAACATGTGGAAGTTATTGACTTCAATAAATCAATAATTGTCCTGGAAATACCCATGTACAATACATTCAAACTATCAAAACTTTCAAAGACCGACACTCTTATCTATATTTTTTGCCAAATAATTCACATGTAGAAAGGGAAGATGTACCACAGCCTACCTGTCATTGGTCTAACTCCTAAATAAGGCATGTGTTGATGAAGAAGCTGCAAATACTAATTTGTCAATCAAAAAGATTCACAATGACACAAGTTACCAAAAGAAAACTTAACGTACCTTTAAATTCTACATATGGAAAGAGTAACAAGATGTTTCAAATCATGGAGCAAGTGACTTGTATTTTGGTGAGGTACATGTTGCAGTCCTTAGTTTCCTATTCATTTTTTGTGGACTTGTTTGTCTTTTCATTGTCTCTTTTTTTGCCATGGTGTTGTCAGTTGCTCTCTAACTTATGAGTTTTGAATGTCCCCTTTGTATCTTCTGCTCATATCACCATTTTAACTAAACAATGACTGTAAAACCTATTGAACCATTTTGTTTCTATACATACAGTAGGTATTATATAATATCTAATATACCTTGCAAACAGGAAAACTTAAATGTTGTCCAAAAAGTACGGATCTAATTTTTTTTTTTCATCAGTTGCATTAATAAATAACTGGCTTCCAAACTCAGAAAACAGTAGCCAAGACATATTGCATTAAAATAATTTTATTTGCAATATATTGACAGTTTATATCATAAAATTGTCTTTAAATAAACCATGAAACAAAATGAAAGTAGACTTGATTGCTACAAAAAGTTGTCAGTATCAAGTTCTATTATCTGTTTAATAAGTTGGAAGTCTGCATCATCTTGACATATTTTAGTAGCTGTACAAGGGCTGCTGGAGTCATTCCAGGGATACGACTGGCTGCTGCTATCTGAAATGAACAAAATCACACTTCTATATTAAAGACCAACTCATAATTTACAGTAACATCCCCCAAAACAGCTTACTGATCATTGGTTGCTTTATGTCTGATTTGAAAATATTTCAGAATAATTTAATTTTGGATGTAACACGTCTTCTGATCGGCTGAAAGTGTTTTGTCTATTAGCTCATAGACATAATTTGTTCATGTGACCGTGGCGTCATCAACGTTTTTATCATGATTTACTCCTTTTTAGAATTAAATTATAAGGAATGACTGTAATATTTTTTCTGTCTATTTGAAATAACCTAAAAAATGTGGTGCACACTTTTAAATACTGTGAAAGTACTTTAATTCGTGGGTATCAATTTTCGTGGTTATAGCAAAAGTTATATGTTCGTGGGTTTTTAAATTCGTGGATTTTAGTTTCCTAAAAAAAAAAAAAAAAACAAAAAAAAAACAAATAGTGTGTAGAATTGAAGCCATTAGAAACGAATATTGCAAATTGTCTCGTTTGAAGGAAATTGCAAAGTAAACATTTAAATTGTTGCACCAGTGTAGTGATGACACTAATTATCCTGAAATCGAGTGATCAACAGATTAATGACCATCAAAGGTGTTAATTAGGCCATAAACATGTCACTTAAAGAAAACAGTTACATAAACAAATGCTACAAATGTACATTGAATGGTAAAATTAATTCTTATCAAAAGCAAGCCCAGCATGAAATTGTTATTTCCCCGTACAAGAATTATGAGGATATAAAATGAACACTTTATCATAGCATATCATCACCAGAAATCTGAGATCATCTGACTTTCATTGATCAAAAATATTTTTATGAGAATTAAAAGATCAGAAGTTGTACAGTTTAGGTTTTAAAAGATTAAATGGGTATAATCCTGCCTGCAGTTGTAGTTCATAGTAGTCTCAGATTTGCCGATATTCAATGTATTCTCTAGATTATATCGGTAGTCCTACATGGGAATCTTTTCATGTCTTGATTTGGACAACAGTTGTTATATTTTGTTGGACACTTAAATTCGTGGATAAAGTCATCCACGAAAACCACGAAAATTGGTTCCCCACGAATAAAAGTACTTTCACAGTAACCTGCTACGCGAGTTATTTAGTGTGCACCACATTTTTGATGTTATTTCTTCATAGACAGAAAAAAAAATTACAGTCATTCCTTAAATAAAAAAAGAACTTAATTCCTGAAAGTATAATGTATTTAACATCACAGTATCCAAATTGCATCTATTTTGCAAATAAAAACCCAAAGGAAATCTTATAGGTTTTCTTAGAGACTAAAGAATTTAGTCTTTTTTATAAATTCAAAAATTCAAAAATACCTGTAGAGAGGTACAAATTTGTTTACCTCCAAACCGGTAATTTTGGCAAATACCCCTTGTAAGCATGATTTAATTGTTCAATTCCACCGAACGTTCTTTGTATCAATCTTGACCTCAGAAATTTTATTATTAACAGGTATCATATGGAGTTTCTACTTGACTACATATTTTTTGTATATACTGCAGCTGTGCTATTTGTGTAGTCAAGTTGCATTGGCCATATAATCATTTCTGATAATTTTTGATATTTATGACGATGACAATGTATTTCCGTTGAGTTTTATTTATGACGTCATTAAAAGTACAGGTTTGCGGAAATTTTACTTCATTCGCTCCAAATTCAATAATGATGTTTTTTATCCTGAATATTTCATTTGGAACAGTTTTAGGAGTTGCAGTGTTTAAAGAATAACCATAAATTTGTCCTATTAGAATAGAAATAATTCATTGGGTTATATTTAGACATGGTATTCCCCATCTGCCATGGTATTTGCTAGCAAATACCCTGGCACATTGAATTCCTTAATGATAAATACCCCGGCAGAGAAAAAAATCTCTATACATAGAAATTGGTGAAAAATACCATGTCATTCATCCAATCAAAATACAGCATTATTACATAAGGTGGAATTACAACAAATAAAGTATACAGTGACATATGCATGCCACATTTATAAAAAGTCTACTTTGGCTTGGTAGCATCATTTTCTGGCTCATCAGTTTTGCTTTCACTTGTAGTTCATTTTTTTCATTTGCATCAGAAACCTCATGTTGTTTGAATTGTTCTACAAGAGTTTAATTTTACTTCCATCTTTCATTTCCTATGGTGGTAGAGCTGATTTAAAAGCAATGTACAATACCAATAAACTCCACAATGGAATGTCCTCATCCGGGTCTTCTTCATTATCAAGTTCATTGGTTTAGGGGTTCAAAACAGAGAACCCAGCTTTTCGAAAAGAATAATTCTTACTCTGCGATTTGAAAAAATTATTTAAGTTACAACTTAAGTTTTATCTGAGATATATTCAGCATTTTTTTTTATAATTTTTAATAAAAACTTAATTAAAATACACATACAGAACAAAATATTTTGTCTGTTTCTTAAATAAACTTTGGTACCCATGTGTTTAATTCCATGCTCCATTAACATGATTGAATTCATACTTACAGTTAGAGGTCTCACTTCAGTTAATTTCACTCTAGCATCAGTTGATATGTCATTCATGCTGTAAATATCAAATACAGTTTAAACCCGCTGCAATTGTTTGCACTGTCCTAAGTCAGGAATCTGATGTTCAGTAGTTGTAGTTTGTTGATGTGGTTCATAAGTGTTTCTCGTTTCTCATTTTTTTTATATAGATTTGAATGGTTTTACACTAGTAATTTTTTGGGGCCTTTTATAGTTTGTTGTTCGATGTGAGCCAAGGCTCCGTGTTGACGACCGTACCTTGACCTATAATGGTTTACTTTTATAAATTGTGACTTGGATGGAGAGTTGTCTCATTGGCACTCACACCACATCTTCCTATATCGGTTTGAATTTTTGCACTAAAAAAATATATTTTGTTCTATAAATACAAAATAAACAACATGACTAATATACAATTTGATTCTATTTTATAAATAAATAAAATATACAGACATTGGCACCTTTGTGCTTTTTACAAATGAGTTCTGCATCAATTTTTGTGAAATGTTTTGATAAATATAAGAAAGGCTTTCACTTGATTAGAAGAAAGTATAATTTTGAAGTTTCCATTCATAATATTTAATGAAAATGAAAATAAATGTGTTCTTCTTTTACAAAATATATTGAACAAATACATGAAGTGGTAACAAACAATGTTTGGGTTTAAATGCTCAACTTTGCAATTCACTTGGCTTTCGCTCTATTTTTTATTAAGAGCACCACTTATCATGCTCAAGTAAATGAACTGCTTGTCTGAGATTCTGATATTTTAAGCCTGGATTCTTTGATGACTAGTTTACCAAAATCGGACATGTTTTTCCAGCTTAGCAACAGTAGTGATTTAAAATAATGTGTCCAGTGCAATCCATTAATATGACATCATAACTAACTAATTTTTACTTTTAAATTATCAAAAATTATCAAAAGCACATTAATTAACTCATTTTTTTTATTCCAAATAATAGACTCCCTCCCTCTTTTCATGGAACTAAGGGATTATAAAATATAGTATAGTGGTTGTTCAGGTAAAAAATTTGTTTACCTCATATAGTCTAAACTATCTGGTAATACAAGCTGTTCATCTTTTCTGACTTCATTTATTTCTTCCATTTGTGATTCCATCTCATTAGCATATTTAGCTGAAATTTTCAATATAGTATGAAACAAGGATCATATAAATAAAACCTATCTAAATCAAGCTTATTTTTCATTATTTTCCCTCTGAGATTGTAGCATTATCCAGGATACAGGCTGACAATTAAAAATCGCTGTAGCCAATCAACAATAAGTTAGGTGTTCCTTTCCTGAATGTCCATGTGAATATTTGTAAGATACTCATTTTTTTTAACAAGCTTTAATATATATTTCTTTGATCAATCTTTGATAAGATGTATAGTATAAAAATAAAAAGATATGGCATGACTGAGACAACTATCCACCAGAGTTCAAATGACATAGATATAAGCCGTTCAAGATTACCATATAACCTTGAACAATGTGAAAACCATACTGTATAGTCACTTATACAAGTATATTGTGTATAACACTGCAATAACCTTTTCACTACATAAATGAAAAGTTAGAATGGGGACTTTCTTCTGTATACTTTAATTTGCCCCCATTTTTCTATATTCATAATATTTAAGCACTTTTTTTATCTCTTCTATAATTTTTTGAGTTATTCTATATATTTTGCAAACCCCATCCAGACTTAAATCTTACCTTCAATCTCAAGTTTCCTTTGTAGATATTTGTTATTCTCAAGGTGACCAAACTCCTCCGGACAATGTTCAACAAAGTCTGCCATGGTATACTGATTTAACAACAAATCAAATGCACTGCAAACAAATATTGGGGGAAATATAATATGTTGCATGATATTCCTTGGTTAACAGACATTTTCTAAAAATCTTGAAGTATGTAAGTAAATCATTTCTATTTGCATAAATCAACACTTTCAGAATATGTACTTTACATTGTTCCATTTGAAATTGTAATATTTACCTTCAGTGAAAAATGTTAAACATAGTTTCTTTGTTCAGATAGATGAATAATGACAAAAATATATTCCAATCCTCAAAGCATGTCAAAATTAGAAATAACAGAATTTAGAGAGTTCAGTTCCAAATTGGCAGTTTGATAATTACAAGTGGAGTTGTACATGTGCAGTACAGCAGAGCCAATAAAACAGATATTTTAGGTCAAACAATTCCTGACAGTTGTCTATTTTGAAAACCAGTACTACTCTTCCTCTTATAATATATTGTAAAAGATATAGTTCTACTGAGCTGTATAAAAATGAATTGAAACAAATAAAACTTGAATTATTTTTTTTGATTAAAACACATGCTTATATGAAACTTTTAATATGTCAACCTAAATATAGGAAATTGGAAGGGAAAGGACAAAATGTACCATTCATGACAGAAAAATCACTATATGTATGTGAAAAAACAAAAGTGAGTGTGAATGATTTCATACTGCAAAGTAAAAGGAAAATATTTAATAAAGCAACTAGTTTGAGGCTAACCAGTTTCTGTTAGCACTATCGACATAAGGTAGATCAGATGTCTTGGAATGTATAATAGCAGAAAACAATCGGTATAGATCTTTCATCAAATGAGCAAATTTTGAAAGAACTAGGAAATATTTCATTTGTAAGACTTTTCATCTAAATGAAGAAAATTTTCCATATAAGGGGAGATAACTAAATAATGTAACTTTTATAAAGGAATGTGTTACCTGTTTGGTATTGAAGCAAGAAAACGTGTCCCATGACCGCAATTTTTATTTTTATTTTCTGAAAGCACATTAGAAAAGCTATTTACTAATATTTTATCCTAAAATTCTATTGTTTGGTTTTCTTTCTATCACACAAAATTGGGTTTTTCATGCATAATCTAAACAAAATTTAAATCTGACAATTATGCACAACAAGTAGCTTGAAAAAGAGTCCTGTGACCCATACTTTTTATTATATTTTTGAAAAAAGCATGATATAAACTACATTTTGTCAAATTATTAAAAATATCTATAAATCTTAATTTAGATTCCCCATCTACCTTAATAATAAGACCATACCTTCTCAGGTTAACATTACTGTTGTTTTCTCTTTTCAGGATTATTCTCCATTTTGTAACTGGTTTGACAATAGATTTTAATAATTCTACATTCTCCACCAGTTCTCGTTCTAGATGTTTAGATCTGTTATATCTATAGTGGCTTACACAACCAGCTTTATAACCTGAAATAAAAAAGATGTAAACTTCATACAATCCTTTATTACATTATTTAGACTTTCCAGAAGATATAAAATTCTTTTAACAGTAGTCCAAAGATGTTGATATACAAACATTAACATATTTCTAAATCAAATATTAAGATAATCTAATAGAGTTGTGTCCCTTCGTACACTTTCTATCGATTTCATTTTCTTTCCAATTAACCATGTTAACTATTCTATTGCCTTGTGTTTAATAATTACAATATACATGGAAAATCTGAGAAAGTTCAAATTCAACTATATTTGACCAGAAACCTGACTGGCACGATCAGTAAAATGGGCCATTAATAATTTACTTATGGATCCTTAAAATAGTAAAGAAGCTTGAAATTTTAAGAGCTTCTTTACTATGCTTCACAAAAAGCATATGAAAAATTGTCTATATGTACATATTATTTCATTTCACCTTTTTCTGTAAGCCTCCTATCAGCATTATCAGGTCTTAGAGCCAGTCTGAATTCTGATCGACTTGTAAACATTCTATATGGTTCATTGGTACCCTGGGTAGTCAGATCGTCTATCAATACTCCAATATATCCCTCAGTCCTGTCCACAATCATGGGAGGTTTGTTTTGTACTTTTAAAGCAGCATTTATCCCAGCTATTAATCCCTGTTAAAGATAGAATAGATCTATATATATTTTTACTTATATGACTTTTATAGTGGTTAGTTGTTAAATATCATGTTGCTCTGTTATAGGTAAATGTATATTAAGGATGTAGTCAGGTCAGGTTTATGAATTTTTGTCAGATGTTCAAACTCCTTGGGTTTTTTCCTATAATACAGGGTAAAATATTTTGCCCATTGCACACATTTTTCTTTCAAAGAAGACTTCAATAGCTCATAAAATGGTCATTACAAAAATTCAAGTTAACTTTAGATTTTTTTCTTAAGATTTGAGACCCAAATAATGCCAATGCTAAATATAAGGTAAAAGACCGAGTCAGCCTTTTCCAACAATTTGAAAAATTCAAATATCTCAAAAAGGAATTCCATAGCCTATCAATATTTTTAACTTATTTTGTTCCTTAACTAATGCTCTTCTGACTTAAAAGTATCAATTTTAAATTCTAGATTTTTTTAATTTCACCTAACTACATCCTTAAGTATCAATTGGTACAGATTTTTAAAATCAAGAAAAAGGACAGAAATTTTTACTGCAAGTCAAATAGCAAGTGCATTTAGGAAGCATGCAATTCACAAGTTGTTATTGGTTGCTCTCTGTTGTATATGATTTTTTTTTATTTATCTTTTTCTCATAAATGGTTGGTTTTCTTGATTGAATTGTTTTTCATTTTGTCATCTCTGGGCCTTTTACAGCTGACTATAGGTTTTGTTTATTGTTGAAAGCAGTACAGTGACCTATAGTTGCTTATATCCATGCGCATGTCATTTGGTCTCTGGTGGATAGTTGTCTCATTGGCAATGATATACTACACCACTATATTTGTATATAGCTTAGTTTTAAACGTTTAAATTGAATTCTTATTCTTAAATGAAAAATGAAGGGAAAATAAGGTCAACATATCTAGTGCTGCGAGAAAATACAAGATACAAGAAGACATAATCTTTCAATCAGTTTAATTGAGGTCTGTCAGTAACAGCTAGTAGTCCTTTGTTAATTTATGTATCATTGTCATTTTGCTTACTAGTTTCTTCTGTTACCTATTCTAACATCGGACTCGGACTTCTTTTAAACTGAATTTTACTGTACATATTGCTATGTGTTTCTTTATTCTACATTGGCTAGAGGTATAGGGGGAGGGTTGAGATCTCACAAAACATGTTCAACCCTGCCACATTTTTGTGCTGTCCCAAGTCAGGAGCCTCTGGCCTTTATAAGTCTTGTATGCTTTTTTAATTTTAATTCAGTTATATGTTTTGGAGTTTAGTGTGACGTACATTTTCACTGAACTAGTACACACTTTTGTCTAGGGGCTAGCTGAAGCCCGCCTCCGGGTGGAGGATTTTCTCACTGTGTTAAAGACCCATTGGTGGCCTTGGACTGTTTTCTGCTCTTTGGTCGGGTTGTTGTCTCTTTGACACATTCCCCATTTCCATTCTGAATTTTAAATTTTACCACATAGTGATAGCTAAAGGAGTTAAAGTTAAATTTACCATTCAATAGCATCACATAGAAAAGAAAAAATATTCTGTTATTCTGAATCATAATCTCCCAATCATAATATCTATGGAGTAAAGACAGAATATAATTTATAGTCAATAACCTAATGGTATTCCTGGACATCTGATCAGTATCTCACTCCTGGAATAATTTACACTGTTATCACTCTACCATCATTTATTATAATAAAGTGCCAGTATCCCATTGATTTTAAAGAGGTTAAATGACTCAAATGTCAAGTATGAATGAGAAGTTTTTGTTGTTTATTTTATTTACCAGAACAGTTAAGGTCAATCAGGAGATAAGTAGTATATTCTTACAGATTTCTAATCAATGAAGTAAACCAATAAATCTCGAGCAATAAATAAGTCATCCACCTTTTGCTTCCGTTTCCCCAACCATATGTCAATGATAAAATTCTTATACTACAGACACAATATTAGTTCTGTAAGCAAACAGAAGAAGAAACAGACAGCAGAAGGAGGAGAGATCTGGTTAGATGAATGGATAAACAATTCAGGTCTTGTCAATACTAAAGGACAACTCAATATATCAATGAGTTGACTCTGCTCATATGCACACCTTTAAAATGTATAAGTATTGTTCTAAATTTCAATTTTGTATTACCTGAGTAAAACCAATTTTGATAAAAATCATCTGAATAAATGCAGAATGGAGAACTTAGAACCAATACACTTAATTTATAATGGTCTTGAAACTGAAGCAAAAAGGTATTTATTTCACATTCTTGATAAATAGTAAAAGTCACCATATTACTGGTTGGAGATAAACAACTCTTACAGTTTTAACACTTGCTATCAGAAATTTAATTGAGGCCAATTCAATAGTAAATAAATTTATTATTATTAACCTGAGCAGCAGCTTCCTCATAACCTGTTGTACCATTGATCTGACCAGCAAAATACATATTCTGTATGCGTAATGTTTCTAAAGTAGGTCGTAACTGTCGTGGATCCATGTAATCATACTCTACTCCATAACCTAAAGATGTAAAGATCAGTATATTATAATTGCATGAAGTTTCATTTTCACCCTACCCTTATGGTCTGGATAGCTAGAAACAACTTAATTGATACCCCACCAGTGTCCCATGATCAATTAAATGATCTAATCTGCCAAAAAAACAACTACACAAGTCAGTAAAATTTCTGACAATTTTTGTACTTCCTGGTTTTATAAAATATCAGTGTATGTGTTGTGCTGTATGAAACAACCCAAAATATTTCTGATAATAAATAAAGAATAGGTGTGAAATTCCACATCATAAAAAACATATCTTTTAATTAGATAAAAAAAAAAGGCTCACTAGTAAAATGTACATATTGTATATAGTAAATCCCAACAGTATTGTTCAATTCAAATGTAACTTGTGGGATATTTTTGTATTGACACAAGTTTTGTGGTAAACTAACTCTGTTGAATTTCTGTTCATCACTATTCAATACAATTTGCAGTAGATTTGGTGCCCACAAATATAATGTTTTACAGACAGACAGGCAGGACAAAAAATATTGTTCTTTACATATAGAATGAAAGAAACAAAATTCTTTGGAAAATGCCTGTACCAAGTCAGGAATATAACAGTTGTTTCCCATCCGTTCCGTTGGTTGATATAGTCGAGCATTGGTATTGTTAAGTTTTATGGATTTCCCCTTTTTTTAATTTACCTTGGAGATCATAGTTTTTGTTAATACTTTTTTTCCCATGGTTTAATTATGGAGAAGTATGGTAATCTGTGAATCAGGCAAAGCAAGACAAGTAGGTTATCATATGAGTATTTCATTCAACAAAAATGTTAAATTACTTTATTAACCAACATACAAACTAAAATAAAGATAAAATATCTTATCATATCTCCGACAGACTACCCCATAAAATATTACATGCATAAACTAATCATTTCAAACTAAAAATGTTGAAGGTATAATATCTGTTAACATGTAAATTATCAAAGACCGACATATTAAATATTGATAAAAGAGATACTAGTCATAATAAATATGGTTTATTGCAATAGAAAAGATACTATGACATAACCTAAGGGCAATAACTCTCCTCAAAGAAATCAAAATATGATTGAAGAGAGGCAACCAGTCTTAAATCAATGATGTTTCAAAACCTAAGGAAGATGAAAATGGTTAGAATTTCAAATATTTGGTTACATACATCACTAACATAGCAGTACAGTCCATTTATGGCCTCTTTTAAATTATGTCTTTTTAATACAAAGAGTCAGACATAAAATGGTATAATATGCTGTAAGAATGTATATATTGGAGTATGGAAGCCTCAGAAAAGTCTTTTAATAAGTTAACTTTGATCTTTTTATGCTCAATTCATTTAAGGTATAAAATCTGATTCACAAGCAAAATTCAAAAATATTACACAAGATACAGTCTCCCAAGTAGCCACTGCTCCAGGATTGGCATTATTTGAGAGACATATCTTTACAGCAAATTTTCTATTTACAAATTATGAAATTTCACTAATAATTTGGCAGTTCCTTTAAACAAACATACATTTTTGTTAACTCTGATAGATCTAAAGGAGCAATAAGTATAATTCTACAAAAAATATGTTATCTTTACCTACATTTTATCTTTTTACTGAATGGTTAAATCCTAGATCTGATTTATCACTTCAATAATGTAAATGAAAATTTTGAATCAATAAAAGTTTTGGTGTCAGTCTAAATTAAATAAAAGCATGTATATCCTATAGTCATTGAAATTAAATTGACTAAGAAAATAGTTTTGCAGATTTTATTATGATTAAAAGCATGAAGCTATCACTTGAATACAAACTAAGATTGTCATTCAAATCTACTACCAGTATTTTCCATAGAAGTTCAATATTACAAACCTGGTTTGACAATTTGAGTATTTTCCAGTCCTACAATACTCTGTACAAGTCTGACCTGATGTTCCTCCGGCATGGTACATGATATACCATTAGGGTATATAACATCACTGCTTAAACCTGCAAAATATACATAACATAAAAAATAAGTTAATCTGAGGAATCAGAATGTTTATCATAGCATGAGGCTTCATTCTATGATCCTGATTTACTTAGTAACAAGAATGTGTCCATAGTACACGGATGCGCCACTCGCACTATCATATTCTATGTTCAGTGGACCGTGAAATTGGGGTCAATACTCTAATTTGACAATAAAGTTAGAAAGATCATATCATAGGGAACATGTGTACTAAGTTTCAACTTCATCAAAAACTAACTTGACCAAAAACTTTAACCCGAAACGTGACAGACGGACGAACGGACACACAGACCAAAAAACATAATGCCCCTCTACTATTGTAGGTGGGGGATAAAAATGATTATTCTTGTATTCAGATTACATTTTGTTGTACTTGAAAAATTGTGTTGCATTCAGGAATGTCATTTGTATACAAGTCACTGATTGGTGAAACCATTATCTATGATGATATAAAAATAAGATGATGATCAGGTACGATCGCCAATGGGACAACTCTCCACCAGAGACCAAATGATGTAGAAGTAACCAAATATAGGTCACTGTATGCTGATTATGCAATACAGTATTTTATGAGGGCCTAGGTTTAATCTCTGATTTCATCCAATCTGGTCATCCTTTTCAAGATAATGTTTTACGTTTGAGATTGATTTATACCTTTGGTTAAGGATGTATGATCCTATCATGTCTTGGTTTAAAAAAGATTTGTGAAAGGAATGTTCTGGACATCATGCAACTTGATTAAAAAATACCCTCCATTAATACGTCATTAACCCTTAACCACAGGTGCAGAAGGCTGTGTCTGTCACACACAGAGCAGTTTAGATATAATATCAAACTTATCTATCACAAAAAACTGAGAATTAGATAACATTTACAATAGTGCGTAACTCTGGAACTTTTGGAGGAGACTTACACATTTCATTTCCTTGTCATGCTTTCATAGACTAATGAAATTTTCATGGATATTGAAAAACTTTTACTTTTTTGTTTGTTCTCATATAAAGCTGATAAACAGCAGACATGTATAGGTCTTCACATTTCACATTGAATATTATCAGATATTTTAGTAATACAATACATTCAAAATTGTTTTAATGGCATAAAAAAAGCGCAATTTTTTTCTTTATAAGAAATGATGTGAAACATGTTATTGTACATTCTGATTGGAGATATCAAGGGGCAAGCAGACATTGTAATTTAGAGGAAGACCAACAGCATCAGACAATAACAAATACTTATAATAATGTCCAGTGGCAAATATTTCTTGCATATTCATGCAATAACATGTTCGTATCATATTCATATACCATGCTATGTACTAGATCAACAGGGCAAGATTTTTGTAATAGCTTTAGGTCACAAAGTAGAAGTCAGCAGAAAGACCTGTTATTCTATCAGACACATTTATCTAACAGATCCAAATAATATTTGCTCATCATTTGAAATTTGTCATGCTTGACTGAAAATAATCAAAAAGTCCTATTTACAAATCTCACTTTGATAACACTAAAGTTTGAGTAACTTCCCCCTACACAAGCACTTTACCAAGACATAAACAGCATGGATGTATGAAAAACAAACAACCATCAGAAACACGTAACAAAAAAAGAAACACAGTAAGAACATGATTAATTTATTAGTTGTCATTGGTTTTGAACCACACTATTTTGGTGCTTTTTGTCTATTGTTTTTATGTTAGTTGTTTTTGTGCCTCATACTCATCTTTTGAGTTAAGCCAATTGCAACTGATATTTACAGTTTGTTCTTATATTGTGCTGTTACACCACTGTCCAAGGTTTAACCCCGCAAAATTCTGTATGTGCCTGTCCCAAGTCATGAGCCTCAGCCGTTCAGTGGTTGTCGTTGGTTTATATTTGTCATGTTTGTTTTTTCATAAATTGTTCTGTTATAAATTAGGCCGTTATTTTTTCTCATTTGAATTACCTCACATTTTCATGTCTGGGCCTTTTATAGATGACTATACAGTATGAGTTTTTTCATTGTTGAAGGCTGTACAGGGGTCTATAATTGCTTGCATCCACTTCATTTGAACAGTTGTCTCATGGAAATAAATCATACCACATCTCCTTATCTTTATAGTTATAAATAATTTGAACTCTACTAAAAGATGGGGACCATGCAAAAAAACTGGTTGAATTCAACTGCTTGGTTTGAACATTTGACAAGTTTAACATTCATGTATCTTTCAAATTTATAATTTGGTGAATAGTTTTCAGATTAATCTAAGCCTTAACAAATTTTGCAAGACTTCAAAATTTTAACAGAGCTCATCATTACATAATAATTGAACTGACATCTGCAAAAATTGGTTAAAAAGTACATGGTTTTGGTTGTTAAAATTACTGGTACATAAACAAAGATCCAGACTTTCAGAACACCATTAAGATACTTTATATCAATATCTTACATAATGACAAAATGGTTGGTTTAATTTAAACATAAGATTTATCTGTTCTCATCAAGTCCAATAAACTGTAGTAAATTATCTGTTACAGCAGAATAAATCTGTATGCATTCACTGAGAGGAAGCATGCAGACCTTCCCATTATTAGAAACTCAATTTACTGCATATTCTAATTACAATATTTATCTTTTCAAAGACATCCTATAAAACTGATTAGATGGTCTGTAAATGAGTGCATTAAATCTGACTTCCATGTAGAACTAATATGTACATTCTGTTTTACAGTTTTTGATGACTGAACAGAACAATCTTCCGAAGACAATGACCTGTTTCTGTCTGATAAAAACAGAAATGACACTTTATGCAAATATGGATATTCAAAATGCCTGTTTTGGCGTTCAAGCTTTTTTCATCTGAGCGTCACTGGTTGGTCTTGTGTGGACGAGACCAACGTCTGGCGTATTGAATTTTAAGCCTAGTACCTTTTGTTAGCTATTATTCGTGTGTTTCTTTGTCCTATATGTTCTCCCATTTATTTGTATTGTGGTCCTGTCATGTGATGTTGTCTTTTTGGTGTTGTGTTTGACGTTGCCATTAAAGCGGGAGGTTTGGCATGCCACAAAACCAGGTTCAACCCACCATTTTTTTCTTAAAATGTCCTGTACCAAGTCAGGAAAATGGCCATTGTTATATTATAGTTCGTTTCTGTGTGTGTTACATTTTAATGTTGTGTTTTTGTTGTGTCGTTGTTCTCCTCTTATATTTGATGCGTTTTCCTCAGTTTTAGTTTGTAACCATGATTTGTTTTTATCTCAATCGATTTATGAGTTTCGAACAGCGGTATACTACTGTTGCCTTTATTTAGCTCCTTTAACTTATATATCTGCATAGGTCTCAAAATATGTTGCTTTTGGTAAATGTGGGTGAATATATGAATAAAAAAAAGTAACAAAAAGAAATAATGTTTCTGATGGACTATCCTTTGTTTTTCTATTATGCATTCCTCCAATATCCAGCTGTCTAAAGAGCATATATATATGAACAATTTGACCTTTAATTTTGTAGTTCCATACTCTAATACACTGAAAAAATTCGGATAGCTGATTACAAGGAATGCAAAAGCCTAAAGATTCCAGTTCAGTGGTTTTCAGTGTTTCAAGCTGTTTGTTTACTATCTTAATGGTCTAAGTTAAAGATTTTTTTTAATTAATTTTTCTTTTAAAGAGCATTCTTACCAACTTGATTCATTTAAGATTTCAAATTTAACTTTTAATAATATATGAACTTTTGAACCTGTGATCATGGTTTGGTAACTGTCACATTGAAGTACAGCTGCAGATAAAACCTGGACATAAATGTCAGGGGTACATACCTTCTGGTTCCAGCCATATTTGATGGGTTCTTCCTTTAAATCTCAATACCTTAGATTCTAATGATGGACAAAACCTGGAAATAAAAATATATATATGTCTAATTTGATTGACATACATAACAATCCTTTATATATTACACTGTAACAATAGACCTACATGAGATAAGCTTATAAAACCAATAAAAATCTAGATAAAACAAACATATATCACAGAAACAGACTCCACAACAAGTTGGTCCTGGTCAAAAAGTTTCTTCCATTAACTTGGTATTTTGTATTTTGTGAATATGACATGCAAAGGTCATGTGAATGAAGACGGCATGATTAGGCCATTTTTGGCCCTTCGAATTCAAAAATCACAAAATACTATAAGAAAAATGTATCAAGTAACATCCTTAAGATGTTTACAGCACATAAGTCTTTTATATGAGTAACATTAGAATTGATATTTGGTATTTGCTATTTGAACCAAATATACAGCATTCAGGAATAAGACTAACAATTTGTCAATTCAGGGTCAGATTAATGTGTCGTTGGTAGGTTGACAGGTCTTCCCACATACTGTTGACATGTGAGCTAGCATGTTAGAAATCTAACTTAGCTCGTTGGTAGGTTGACAGGTCTTCCCACATACTGTTGACATGTGAGCTAGCATGTTAGAAATCTAACTTAGCTCGTTGGTAGGTTGACAGCTCTTCCCACATACTGTTGACATGTGAGCTAGCATGTTAGAAATCTAACTTAGCTCGTTGGTAGGTTGACAGGTCTTCCCACACATTGTTGACATGTGATCTAGCATGTTAAAAATCTAACTTAGCATGCCAGTCTTGTACAAAGCATGGTATCTCCAAACTACATGTAATGCTACATCCTAAATATGCATGTAATATTTGTCATTGGACATTTCAGTCGGGAATCAATCAATACAAAAATGGTTGACCAAAATGTCAGAATAAATAACAATATCTTATAACAAAATTGATGTATATACTTTGAGAATATCAGTTTATCTAACCCAATACAAGTATGAATGACCAATATGTCATAACAAAGTCTTATAACACAACTTTCAGAATATCAGTTTATCTAAAGCTTCACAAATAAATGAAGTACACTTTGTGTGCAGTGTCAGTGCAACATGAATAATGTCCATAATTACCATTTAAAGTGGTTTTATAAAACTTGATCACAATGAGGGAAATCAATCCTGTATCCAATCAAAATATACATGGATAAAATCTTTGTCAATAGGAACCATCTATCTTCTTAATATTGTTTAATTACCAATGTCTGACAGGTTCAAAATGAAATGGTTTTAAACCAGAAAAAAAATCAGCATTTCAGTGGGAAAACAAAGGAAAGTTAAGTTGAACTTGTATATCATTACTGTACAATCAGTTTTTTTAGTGTGCATTTGTTATTGACATAATTTGCAATGGACAAAAAAATGAGACATATTTCTGTGATTTCTGGAAATGCTGCATTATATAAAAGACAATGCAAAAATAATTTTAAATTGAGAGTTCTAACTTATTATAATTTTGTCATATTTTCTGAATTGATAAGATAATAAAGTACAAATGTAATAGCAAACATTTCTTATATTTCAAAACTTGAATTATACATGTAATTCATCAACATGCTTTTGATCATCAGTAACACACTGTGACTTCATTTCCTTCACTTCATTCAAGAAAATTCCAATTATCAAATAAAGTTTGAATCATGGTAGTTAGATGTATTGAGGAACCCAGGCCTGAAGTCACATACATTGTAATTAGAATCTTCACTGGCAACTATGTCAATAACTGTTAGTCCAATACAGTGGGTTGGAATTACACTTGAACAGAAGAATAAAAAAACAAAGTAAAAAGAAATAGTAAAAAATAAAAGAAGAATGTGTCTGAGGACAAGAATGCCCCCACTCAAGCTTACTTTTCAAACGAAAATGGGACGGACAGAAAGAAGGAAGGTCAAGGGTAACATTTAATGCCCCATACAAAAATCAAAGCAGCAACCAAAATTCTTTTCTCTTTTAATAATGACAACATTACTGTTCTCTATTTCTCTCCAGTTTAAACATTTTAAAGTAACAATTATCTGGTTTTTGTATACTGGTATTGTAGGATAGCACTTCATCACCAAAACAATCAGATCGTTATTGCTTAATATAAAAATAAGAAGATGTGATATAATTGCCAATGAGATAACTCTCCACCAGAGCACAATGACGTTGAAGGAAACATTACTGTAGGTCACCTTTTTTAAATTCAAGCATCACTGATGAGTCTATTTTGTAGACAAAATGCATGTCTGTCATACAAAATATGTCAGATATCTTTGATGATATTCTTTCACCTTACAGCCTTTCACCTTACAGCCTTTTAAAATGAGTAAATAATGCATATTAAGTAAGCTATAAAAGGCCCTTCATGGCAAATTTAAAACAGTTCAAATGAGAAAACTAAGCCTGATTTATGTACAAAACAATCAACAAAAAACAATATGATATATATACCTCAACAATTAACAACATCTTAATTACAGGCTCCACTGACTTCGCATATACAGAATGTTGTGGGGTTAAACATATTTATTTAAACATTTAAGAAAGAATTCAACCCTCCCCTTAACCTGAAACAGTCATGGTGTACTAGTACAACATAAGAACAAACTGTAAAAATCGTTTTTCTTTTGACCATTTCTTTTTTTTGGCAACACAGGATGTACTGAATGTCAAACTTATTTTGTTATTCACATATATACAGCTAGCCTGATTCAAGGAACCCTAGATATATCAGAATGATATTTATCTGAGAATTTTTCATTTAAACACCTGCAAAATATCTAAATACCTCTTTAACAAAAAATTGAAATAGAATTGACCACTCAAAGGAACACTGCTGGTTAACACTTGTATGATTTATGCTGTAGAATAGTTAAATACAATTGGCAGGTAGTAGCTATAACTCATACCCAGACAGATTTGTGATAATTACCCAGGCCATATCTTGACAATTAGAGTAATGGGCAAAACAAACCACACCAATTTGTAAAAGTACTTCAAGCTTCATGTTAAAAAAATCTTATATCATTAATCAGACTGTCAAAACTTAAGTATTTTATAATATGTAAACTCTACTTTTACAATAATTTTGGAATCTTTGAAATAGTTTTCAGTACTTTTTATAGAGCAATTATCTTAAAGAGTATCTGTTTTCCTTTCTTTCAGTACATATGTATATTTCTAATTAATATCAGCACATAATAACATTAATCATAATGACCTTGGCACTGCTACATGTGATAACATATTTTGTTACATAATATGATAAAAAACTATGACAATTATGTTCATTTCTGATCAATGTGAATTGACTGACACTCAGAATTGGCAGAATCATCAACCATATTGTTCCTCTTCAGTCAGATGAGAGAGAAATCATTGAAGGAAAATTTACAAGTTCTTTATTTACAGACACCTCCCTGTTTTATTTGTCACAATTAAATCAAACAGTGGAAGTGCTGCAATATGGACCATCTCCTTAATTTATGTATGTATATTAGAGTCAAAAGATTATTTGCTGAAAGATAGAAAACTTGCAGTCTGCTCAATGGGAGCAGGTGGCAGAAAAATTGTAATATTTGCTGCTGAACATTAAACACTAATCCATCAGCATCATGATGACATTATCAAAATGGTATTTTTTTTCTAAATAGTCACAGTTTGTGTTAAATAGTTATCAGTACTAATAAGGTTATAAGGTATACATAAATGGGGGTAGAATGTGGAAATACTAAATCCATGGAAATTTTATGAATTGTGAAATTTTGCAATTCCTGTACATTCTAGTAGTGGTGAGGAAAAACTTACCATTAAAATTTTAAATTATACCCTATATTTTCTATTTTAACAAATGGTAGTAAAACTCTTCTGTGATTATGAGATGATTAATTACAGTATAAACCAGTCAAGTGATAACCAATTTTCTTGCAAAAGGTCAATTCTAATTTCTATTGTTAATTTTATGGGAGATTCTTGGAAAAATTGTTAGCGACTGAAATAAAAAAAATTGCTCAGTTAATCATTTAAGGTAAATTAACTTGAATTAATCTGTTTCAACTAAGTTTTGTTACTGACCATTTATCTTAAAACAAACTAATCTATTAAGTAAAAGACAAGTGAATTTCACTTTGATTGCAACATCTATCATTTTTTATAAGTTCTAAGCATGACTGACTGACCTACAGACCTTTGAATAGAATTGACCACCTCCAAAAAATTATGTTACATATTTATTGTAATGTTATGATGTAAGAAATATTAACCCTCAACGTAATGACTTAATAAATAGCAACTGCCAATAATGTTTTCTGTAGATATTTTATGCAATAAAATATAAATCGCAGCCTTATAATTCAATAATGATTAAGTTACTATATATAATGTTATTAATTCATAAAGTCACACGATGAGAATTTATTAACAAAAATAAGAAAAATATGCATGTAATAAATAAATAAATAAAACAAAAATAAAATAAACGATGTTCAATTCATCTTATTGTAAACTTCTCTTATAGATAAAAGCCACTTCCAGAAGATATAGTAAAGTATTATAACCTTGACAAGTTTTTATAGCTAGTCTCGGCAGTCTAAATAGCTACATGCTGAGACTTTCTGTCTTTGAGGTATTGCCAAATATTTTACTCTTTCGAACTGAATGAGAAAAACAAAAATTGAACATTGTCTTTTTACTTGAGAATAGCTTGTATTCTGAAATGCAACTGTTTATTACTTTTATGAATTGTACTGAAGCTCCTATCCAAATTTTGAGGCTAAAGAGTACATGTTAAAAATCTAGGTTTCAGATATACTATTATCAACTGATGTGGGGTAAACCAATTAAAAAACGTAAAAGTAGATCAGGTTTAAGAATTTCTTTATTCTTTTCTTATGATCACAAACATATACATGTACTATTGCTGATTATCATTCTGATATGATAGTCTATTTTGCCTCCATTTTTCTAGAATGCAGAACAAATTTAATTACCATTTTAAATGCCAAATTG